TAGGTGACCTCCTGAGGTCCCTTCCAACCCTGATATTCAATTATTCTATACGCTGGAGGGTAGGGATAGGATACAGAGGGCCCTAGACAAATTAGAGGATTGAGCCAAAAGAAATCTGATGAGGTTCAACAAGGACAAGTGCAGAGTCCTGTACTTAGGATGGAGGAATCCCATGCACTGCTACAGGCTAGGGACCGAATGGCTCAGCAGCAGTTCTGCAGAAAAGGACCTAGGGGTTACAGTGGACGAGAAGCTGGATATAAGTCAACAGTGTGCCCTTGTTGCCAAGAAGGCCAATGGCATTTTGGGCTGTATAAGTAGGGGCATTGCCAGCAGATTGAGGGACATGATCATTCCCCTCTATTCGACATTGGTGAGGCCTCATCTGGAGTACTGTGTCCAGTTTTGGGCCCCACACTACAAGAAGGATGTGAAAAAATTGGAAAACGTCCAGCGGAGGGTAACAAAAATGATTAGGGGGCTGGAGCACATGACTTATGAGGAGAAGCTGAGGGAACTGGGATTGTTTAGTCTGCAGAAGAGAAGAATGAGGGGGGAGGGATTTGATAGCTGCTTTCAACTACCTGAGGGGGTTCCAAAGAGGATGGATCTAGACTGTTCTCAGTGGTAGAAGATGACAGAACGAGGAGTAATGGTCTCAAGTTGCAGTGGGGGAGGTTTAGGTTAGATATTAGGAAAAACTTTTTCACTAGGAGGGTGGTGAAACACTGGAATGGGTTACCTAGGGAGGTGGTGGAATCTCCTTCCTTAGAAGTTTTTAAGGTCAGGCTTGACAAAGCCCTGGCTGGGATGATTTAGTTGGGGATTGGTCCTGCTTTGAGCAGGGGGTTGGACTAGATGACCTCCTGAGGTTCCTTCCAGACCTGATATTCTATGATTCACTCCCCCTTCTAGCCAAGTCCCTGAACCCAAATGAAGCAAATGACATTTGAAAAAAACACTCTTCTGCAATTTCTTTCTAAAGAAAATGGAGCATGTTTTCTACAGCATGCCAGATGGTGAAGACTGGACATGCAGAAGATACCCAATTAAAAGCACTAAACTTGGGAATAAAAAATATCAGTCACAGGTTTTTTGATATGCCCTGAAGTTTGTCCGAGATTTATTTGCAAAAACTTTGTAGTAAGGGCAAGTCAGCTGTCCTGCTGAATATAACATTAAATATTATGGAATACATGATGCAGCTCTTCTCTCTTTTACATTTTCTTAATCAGTATTTCTAAGCTGATTTTATGTTTTAAATGTACTCTTAAACCTTCATAGAATCATAGAATCATAGAATATCAGGGTTGGAAGGGACCTCAGGAGGTCATCTAGTCCAACCCCCTGCTCAAAGCAGGACCAATCCCCAATTTTTGCTTTGGATCCCCTAAATGGCCCCCTTAAGGGCTGAACTCACAACGCTGAGTTTAGCAGGCCAATGCTCAAACCACTGAGCTATCCCTCCTCCCTGTGATAAAGTGTGATAAATGAAGGCATGGGTAGCTTCCTTTTATGGACACCCAGACAGTCAGTTAGCTATAAAGTCCCTCTTGGTAGCTGTTCTTTACTTGCTTTACCTGACAAGGGTTAAAAAGTCCCCCAGGTAAAGAAAAAAAAAAGTGGGCACCTGACCAAAAGAGGCAATGGGAAGGCTAGAACTTTTTAAAATGGGGAAAGAAACTTTCCCTTCGTCTGTCCTCTCTGGGCTGGAGGGTCAGAGCTGCAATGCTGTAAACAGCTTAAGCCAGGTATGATCATAAATCATCAGATCATGCCTAGAACTACTTATCTGAACTCCAATGTGTAAGTAGATCAGAATGTTTAGCTAGACGCGATCAGGTTTATTTCTGTTATTTTTTAAGGCTTTTGGATCTCCTCCTGACTAACCCCTAATGCTTTTGTTTGCTTTAAGCTGAACCCCCAAGAAAGCTGTTTTGGGTGCCTAATTTTTGTAATTGTTTCTTTTAAGATCTAGCAAAAAGCCTAAGTTCCAGATGTATTTTTTCCCTTTTTGTTTTTAATAAAATTTACCTTTTTTAAGAACAGGATTGGATTTTTGGTGTCCTAAGAGGTTTGTGCATGTTGTTTGATTAGCTGATAGCCACAGCAAATTTCCTTTGTTTTCTTTTTCAGCTCTTCCCCGGAGGGGGGAGTGAAAGGGCTTGAGGGTACCCCACAGGGAGGAATTCCCAAGTGTGCCTTCTTGGGTTCAAAGGGGTTTTTTTGCATTTGGGTGGTGGCAGCGTTTACCAAGCCAAGGTCAGAAAGAAGCTGTAACCTTGGGAGTTTAATACAAACCTGGAGTGGAAAATATTAATTTTTAAAATCCTTGCGGGCCCCTACTTCTGCACTTGGAGTGACAGAATGGGGATTCAGCCTTGACAGGGAGGGAAGAGAAGCAGGAGACAGTGGGGAGAGGGCAGGGCCTGGGCAGAGTGGGGCAGGGCCTGGGGCGGAGCAGGAGTGGAGTATAGGTGGGGCTACAGGCCGAAGAGGTGGGCTGGGGAGCTTCAGCCACTGCCCATGACAGCAGGTAAGAGCGGGACGGCTCCCGCACAGCCAGTGCGCGCTGCAGTCCCCTTAGGCAGGGGCCGTATTCACAGAGCCAAATGCGCCAGAGCTGCGCATTCTGCCTGAGGGAGAGGGTACGGGGGTCTCTGCAGGGAACTGTGACTCTCCGCCGCCATGAGGCTCGGTACCCTTTGCTGCCTCATCCCTCCCCGCTTCCCCCCCGCAAGGCTGCAAGCCCGGGCTGCCTTTGGGCATACGGGCACCAGTTTAATAATACTATGTAGGGCCCCATAAATCCTAAGGATGGTCCTGCTACCACCACTCGTTTAGGTGGTTTTGTAATGTCAGTGGCAGCGTTCTCTCCCATCGGCATAGAGCAGCTACACGAGCGATCTTAGGGCATGGCTACACTTGCAGATGTAGAGCGCTTTGAGTTAAACCAGCCTTCGGAGAGCGCTGCAGTCTGTCCACACTGACAGCAACAAGCACACGGGCGTGGCCACATTTGCAGCACTTGCAGCGGCATTGGGAGCAGTGCGTTATGGACAGCTATCCCACAGAGCACCTCTTCCCATTCTGGCGCTGTGGCTTGGGGGAAGGGGAGGGGGTGCAGGGCATTCTGGGTCCTGTCCCAACGCCCTGTGATGCATCGGTTTGTATCCCAGCAATCCCTGTGCTTCCGTCCACACTTGGCGCCATCTTTCAACCTTTTCTGTACTGCGCGCTCTGTCTTCCCTTTTGGTCTGCGGGAATGGAGCCCGAACTGCTGAAGAATATGCTGACGAGTCTCGCCAGCATGTCACGTTTGTCAGTTGAGTTACTCCTTAAGATCCAAACTGACAGTGAGGACTCCGCCGATGATATCAACTCGAGTAACACATATGACACGAGTTTGCTTGTGGCATTCACGGACATGCTCACCACCGTGGAACTCCGGTTTTGGGCTCGGGAAACAAGCACTGGGTGGTGGGATCACATCGTCAGGCACGTCTGGGATGATGAGCAGTGGCTGCAAAACTTTCCGATGAGGAAAGCCACTTTCATGGGACTGTGTGATGAGCTCGCCCCCACCTGCGGCGCAAGGACACGAGATTTAGATTTCCAAAACACAGTTCTCTTAAAGCAACCAAGCCTTGAGCTCTCACCTAGTGAATCTCTGGAGTGAGATATTCAAATATACGCTTACAGCCAGTTCTTCTTAACTAAACTAAAATTTATTAAAAAAGAAGAGAGAGAGAGAGAGAATATAGGTTAAAAGATCATTACACATACAGATATGAATAAAGTTCATAGGTCAGTTTTATAGTAGAGATGGTGAGTTTTCGAGTTGCAGAGAGTTTGTTCCAGAATCAGTTCATCAGGTTATAGTCCAATGTCCAATATCCAACATTAGGGCAATCCAGAATGGAACTGAAGACCACAGACTTATGACTCAAACTTCCCCTGATGAAACTTAAGTAGATCTGAGGTAACAGGATCAGGGCCCAAGCATTCTTTTATAGACCACTGGCAGACTATGATAGTCTCTTGACTGCAGATATTCCTTGGGTGAAGAATAGTTGCTTAGAAATAGAATTACCTATTTCCTATGTATACACAGGTAACTAGTTTCATTCATCAGCATAAGGTAATTATCCATTAAGCCGTGCATAGACAGTTTACTACAAACTTCAAAGAGAAATATAGACAATGAAATTATTACATTCAGGTTTCATCTAAATGCTAATATTCCCTTTTGATCTCTGAATCAATAGTATAGTAACAGACCTGAACCATCTGTTTACATGGTTAACATCTAACAAGATATAAGTAAATACATACAATTAGTATTACCTCTAATTCTCTAACCATACAGGTTTGCATTTCAAAGCGCTAGTCTATTTAACATGAAATGGCCCTACATACCATTTACATACTTTTTAAACATGTCTCTAAAGGTTAAATTAGGATCATTTAGCCTATGAGCTGCTTAACCCTTTCTGGCCTTGTGTCACATTATCCAAATTGCATCTAATGGAAAATATAGCAACATCTCATCTCCTATAAGGCTGTTTTTATTAATCATGGTATATGGGAAGCAATGGACAGGCACTGGTCTCCTTGCTGGGAGACCTCAGTTCTCTTTAAGGTCAGGCTTGACAAAGCCCTGGCTGGGATGATTTAGTTGGGGATTGGTCCTGCTTTGAGCAGGGGGTTGGACTAGATGACCTCCTGAGGTCCCTTCCAACCCTGATATTCTATGATTCTATGATTCTTCCTGGCTCTGCATGATTTGTTGTGGGACTTCAGACAAGTCATTTCCCCTTCTCTGTGCCTCAGTTTCCTAAAGGGGGACTTTGCTTTGTGAAGCAATTTGAGATCTACGGATGATACTCTCTGAGTGTTACAGACTTGCTGTTTTTCTCACACAGCTGCCTACCTTTTACTCTCTGTTCCATGGCATTCATTCTCTCCTTCCATTCTTCCTTCCTTTGTTTTTATCCAAGAAATCCCCAGGGGAAATTCTGCTCTGATCAAATGCCTGAACATGGAGCTCTTGAGACTCAGCCAGGATCTATCAGAGGAGCTGAACCCCAGTGTGTATGTGGCCCTTCGTCTTTCTGCTGACCACAGCCTGAAGAAAGAAGCCCAGTACCTCCAGAGGCTGAAGGATGTCTTCCAGCCCAGCACCAGCAGGTACGGCCAATGGAGCCCAAATCCCACCATCAGGAGTGGCGCAAGGAGCAGGGCCCCTCTGTATCTTGCCACTTGCAGGAGCACCCTGGGGCAAAGGCATCCCAGATGAACAAGCTTTTCCCCTGCCCTCCACAAAGCCCATCTTCTTCCTGTCATGGACTCCTCTCAAAGGGGCTGGCTTTCTGCTCACTTGTGTGTGTTGACCTCCTAGGCTTGCCCCAGGATCCAGTGCCCCGGCTGCATTGATGTGCCAGGGGAGGTACCCGGACAGTATGAGGGTAGGCATAGCTCTCTGCTGATTTACAGCTGGCGTGGGGCTGGATGCATTTACAGGCTCCTGTCAGGTACACAAAAGCACAAGGTTATGGTCAATCAGGCCCCAAACTCTGCTAAGGATCTTCAGAGCTGTCCTAGAGCTGGTGTTTGCTGCCCCTGGGGACGCAGTTCCCCTCAGCCGGTGGGGGGGGGGGGGGGGGGGGGGGGGGACATGTGGGAAGGAGGAGCCATGTGGTGAGTATTTGGCTTGTGTTGTCACCTCAGCTCTGTAGCAGGTGGCCAGCAGAAGCAGCCCAACACGGGCCGCCTGGCTCTGTACCTCCTAGCACTGCGGGCTGCCTGCCAGGACATGGACACGCTCCTGGGGAGGCAGCTGGTGACCCAGCTGAAGTACCATCTGCACAAGGAGAAGGAGCAGATAGGTAAGAGGGTGCTGCTCGGGGCTAGCACCGAGGGTTACTGCAGAGCGTGGCAGGAAGCTGCCTGGGGTGGCGTGCAGCATCTCTGGGCCACTTCCTAGCTCAGTGTCCCTGCCAGAGAATGGCTGTCAGTGGAACCCTCATTCTCTGCTCACAGCTCAGACCCAGCAGCAATACCCCTCCTGGGCCATTCACAACAGAGAGTCACGCTGAGAACACCAGGAAGCATCTGTCCATCCAATTCTCACCCCCACCCTCAACTCTGTATGCACTGAGTGGGGAGTTGAAGGGGGGCAGTGGCTTGGATTACAAGCTTGCTGTGTTGGTTCCATCCAATGGGGTGCGATGAGGAGAGTCCCTGGTGCAGAGTCCTGGGGCATGGAGGGGGAAGGATGGCTTGTGCTGGGGGGAGGAGAGCACAAGCTGCTTTCTTCCTCCTGATTCCTTTCTCCTGCTCACAGCTTTCAAAGGGAATGGCCGTCCCATCACCAGTTACTACCAGTACAGCCTGGGGGTCTTGGCCCTGTGTGTCCATGGCAAGAAGATTGACACCCATGTGATCCAGAAGCTCCTCAATGCTGAGAAGCACAACAAGTTCACGCATGGCGTCAAGCTCTCCATGGGTACGTACTTGTCAGAATGGTCCTCTGTGCCAGCCCCCCAGGCTTGCCGGCCTTCCTGCCATGGCTGGAGACAGCACAGCCTTTGCATCTCCCTTGGGAGGTACATGAAAGTCAGCTCCCCCTGAGAGGGGTTTGAGTTCTCCCATTCTCAGCTCTGCACTCCAGCCACACAGGGCCATAGCTCCACTGAAGTAACTTGGGCAGGGGTGTTTCTCCTTGTAACCCCTTCTCCTGCTCTTCCTCACACAGACACGAAGGCCATGGCAGGCTTGGCCTTCACCTGCCTGGAGCAGGCCAACCTCTACGAGCCCAGGCTAGTGGCAGCAATCAACCTGGCTATCCAGAGAGTGACGGGCAGTATTCTCCAGGCTCAGACCACCAAGGGCACCTTTGGCAACATCTTCAGTAGCCCACTGGCCATGCAGGTGGGCAGAGCGGGTCTCTGGAGCACATCCTCCTCCTGCATGGTTTGCAGGATCCCAGCATTGCCAGCTTCCCAGGGTGGCATGGAGGGGAGATGCCACCGTAGCGTAGCCCCTTCTTCTGGGGGAGCCCTCTGAGGATACGTCTGCACTGCACACGAAGCCTGTGGGTCATCCACACTGCAAAGAAGGACTGTGGCACCGAGTCTCAGAGCCTGGGTCAGCTGACTTGGCTCACCCTGCAGGCAGCATGGACGTTTGGTTGCACTGGAACCCGAACTCTGAAACCTGGTAAGGGGGTTGGGTCTGAGAGCCCAGGCTCCAGCCTGAGCTGCACGTCTACACAGCTATTGTCAGCCCTGTAGCGCATATCCTGCAAGCCCAAGTCAGCCGACCCAGGCTCTGAGGCAGGCTGTGTAGCTGTACCCTCAGTGTTTCCAAGTCCATGCTTGAACGTTCACACGGCTTTGTGAACTTGGGTTTACTGTTGCTGGACTTGGATCTCAGCTGTGCTAATACGTCCATGCTGCACTACACGGACCTTCTGACTGGTGTCTATGGCTTGAGCGCCATCCACACTGCAAAGTGACAGGGGTTGGACCCAAGTTGCAGCAGGACTCGGGTGCTGACCCACCCCTCAGCAATGTTCTAGGACCTGGGCCCTGAGCACTTGCTGACCAAAGTCAGACTGATTTGTGTGTGGATGAAGGGGGGGCTTGGGCTCAAACCTGAGTCAGAGCTGGGCTTAGTGTGCAGTGTAGACATACTCCAGGTCACATGCTTGTCCATCAGCATGACCTCTGCCCTGCCCCCATCTTCTTACCGTACAGAGTACAATCTGTCTTAAAGGGACATTGTCCATCTAAAAACATAGGGTCTGGGTCAGATTTCACACTGATGTTCTGCTTCAGTGGAGTTATTCCTGATCTACATTAGCATCTGGCTGAGGTAGGTTTTTTTCCCAATGTCCTTGCCTGATTTAGTACCATAAAACTGACAGAGGTCAGCAAATCAAATCCAGTCTTTATCACCAGGCTAGCTAGGTTTCTGAGATCTCTTAGCCTCACTCCTTGCTGGAAGGCAGCCACCTCTGGGGTGGAAGGGAGCTGCGCTTTAGCAATGTCCATCATCACTGCACAGTCACTTAGGATAGGAAATTAAGAACAATTTCAGCTGATCCTGGAGGGGGAAGAATGATCCCATGTTGGAATTTGAAGACACTGGAGTTAACAGCTTCCACTCTGAGAAAAAGTGCCAGTCAATGCATGAGGGCCACAAGCAGAAAGGGCCTTGGTTTTATGTCTCATCCGTTCATTTGCTTTTTGTACTTGGCTCAGCTCAGATAGAAAAACTAGTTCATAGAATCATAGAATATCAGGGTTGGAAGGGTCCTCAGGAGGTCATCTAGTCCAACCCCCTGCTCAAAGCAGGACCAATCCCCAATTAAATCATCCCAGCCAGAGCTTTGTCAAGCCTGACCTTAAAAACTTCTAAGGAAGGAGATTCTACCACCTCCCTAGGTAATGCATTCCAGTGTTTCACCACCCTCCTAGTGAAGAAGTTTTTCCTAATATCCAACCTAAACCTCCCCCACTGCAACTTGAGACCATTACTCCTTGTCCTGTCCTCTTCTACCACTGAGAATAGTCTAGAACCATCCTCTCTGGAACTACCTCTCAGGTAGTTGAAAGCAGCTATCAAATCCCCCCTCATTCTTCTCTTCTGCAGACTAAACAATCCCAGTTCCCTCAGCCTCTCCTCATAAGTCATGTGTTCCAGACCCCTAATCATTTTTGTTGCCCTTCGCTGGACTCTCTCCAATTTATCCACATCCTTCTTGTAGTGTGGGGCCCAAAACTGGACACAGTACTCCAGATGAGGCCTCACCAATGTCGAATAGAGGGGGATGATCACGTCCCTCGATCTGCTGGCAATGCCCCTACTTATACAGCCCAAAATGCCATTGGCCTTCTTGGCAACAAGGGCACACTGCTGACTCATATCCAGCTTCTCGTCCACTGTCACCCCTAGGTCCTTTTCCGCAGAACTGCTGCCTAGCCATTCGGTCCCTAGTCTGTAGCTGTGCATTGGGTTCTTCCGTCCTAAGTGCAGGACCCTGCACTTATCCTTATTGAACCTCATCAGATTTCTTTTGGCCCAATCCTCCAATTTGTCTAGGTCCTTCTGTATCCTATCCCTCCCCTCCAGCGTATCTACCTCTCCTCCCAGTTTAGTATCATCCGCAAATTTACTGAGAGTGCAATCCACACCATCCTCCAGATCATTTATGAAGATATTGAACAAAAATATCTTCCAAATATAGTTGGTCGGTTGTGGTTCCTGGTTCTCCTGCACTAGCGCATGGCCAGCCTCTCTGAGTTTCTAACATAGGGTGAGAAGGGGTGAAATTGAAAACCTGATTTATCTGAATCTTTTCTGAGTGCCAGGCCAAAATTATTTGGCATTGCTTCTTTAATGGAAAGCACTCCTCAGCATGATGATGATTAGGGCTCTGTGTCTTTCACAGAGGTTGCAGAAATCATGGATTCCATGACTTTCTGCAACCTCTGTGACTTCTGCAGTGGCTGGTGTGGCAGAATCCAGGGCTGCCCAAGCAGCTGGCCCCAGGGACCACCTGAGCAGCAGCCAGTGCAGCTGGCCCTGGGGACCGCCTGAACAGTGATCCCAGGGGCTGTGGGAGCAGCTGCAGCTGGTGCTGGTGCCTCTGACCCCTGAGCCCCCCACCCAGCAGTGATCCCCCAGCTTCCCCATCCAGAGCAGTGCCTGCCCCCCTCCCCCCCAGCTGGCCGCCAGCTAAGATTTAGTCAGGGGTATTTATAGCACAAGTCATGGAGAGGTCATGGGCTGTGAATTTTTGTTTATTGCCCGTGACCTGTCCATGACTTTTACTAAAAATACCCTTGACTAAATCATAAACTTAATGATCAGCAGCGTTATTTAGCTGTAAGCGTGTTTGGCGCACGTGGGCCAGTCACTGACCCCAGGGACAACACCACCCCAGGCCCCCGACTATCTGCCCCCACATGTTAAGCTGTGTCAGGCTGCTGACACTTCACCCCTGCAGGTGTTACTACCCTTCCCTTCCTCTTACAGCAGTATGCTCCATTTTATCCTGGCCCCACATTCTGCCCTGGGTGGGAGCAAACTGAGCAGGTGTCGGCCCACCCAACTTGCATGAAGGAAAGTAGCTGCCTTGCAGGGGGTGCCGTGTGTGGGACTGTTTCTCCTTCAGCACCGAGTCCTGTGCCAGGGTTGAATAAAGAGTGCAGAGGGAGGGGCTCTGTGGCAGCTGGACCTCATCCTGCACACCAGATGGTTCACTTTCCCCTGCAATTGGCTTTGAAGCAGGGGGGTCAGATGTTTGAAATAAGGCTTCTCTCCCTTCCTTTGAACCCTTCATGTTAGCTCTTGATTGCCACCGGGATGAGCAAGAAGCCAGAGTGTTCCAAAGGCATGGATGCCCTGCTGGGGAGCCTGGAACAGGGTCACTTCCAGAACCCCATGATCATGTCCCAGCTGCTGCCCGTGCTGGATGGCAAGAGCTACCTGGACATCGCCACCATGGAGTGCCGGGCAGAGCAAGGTAACAGGAAAGACAGGGATGCTAGAGTGAGGGGCAGGGTTTGGGGGCCCTGGGTCCCATGCCTAGTGGCAGATCCCACCAAGAGGAAGGGAAGGGGGGAGCCTGGAGTTACAGTCACTGCAATGGGGGCCTTTGAGGAAAGGCTAGGGTGGAAAAATCCCAGGAGCCCAGCAAACATGCCCTGAGAAGGAGGGAGGACTAGGACAGCAAGTTGTCACGCTAGGGCTCCCCACAGGGGTCTGCATGACTATTGGTGCTTCTGACAGCCTCTCCCTCTTTCTCAGACACTTTGGAGCGAGACACCAGGTGCCCGGGATCCAGGACAGTAATTCTGGGGACCAAGATGATCACCGTTCACCTGGCTGTGGAGCACCCTCCGAGCCCTGAGACACTGTACAACCACTCCATCCAGATGCCCTTTGGGTCCTCCCTCCTGGACTTGCTGAGAACTGCTGCAGAGCAGGGCCCTGGGCAGTTCACGTGAGAGCCTCCTGCTTGTGCTGGGAACAGACTGATGGGGAGGCCTGGCTGCAGGGCAGGCCTGGAAAGAGGAGCGTGCTGCCTCCTAAACTGCGGGGGAGGCAGTCCAGGGCATGCCCACCCACAATGCTAGCAGGGAATCTGCCTGCACAACCCCAGGACTAATGCTAGGAAGAGTGGCCCAGGGCCCAGGCCTATAAGGCAGAGCTCCTGGGTTCTGTTCCTGGCTCTGACACTCATTCACTGCATGTCCTTGGATAAGTTGCTGCCCCTCTCTGTGCCTCAGTTCTCCCCGCCCCACCCCGTAACATGGGGATGATCACACCCACCAACCTGCCGTGAAGTGCTGTGAGACCTTTCGGTGCAACATGCCGTTAGTTCAGTAACAACACGAGTGTCCCGTCCTCCTCCTGGACCTGGTCTGGGTTTTCCAGGCTCCCTCAGGGATTCCAGACAGTTACCAGGTGTCAGATTCTTATGACAGTTCTGGGACATCCGTCACTATGAAACAACCCCTCTGTGTTCGAATAGGCTGTAGTTTCTGCAGGGATCTACTGGGTATGTGGGGAAGGTCTGTACAAGTGGGATGATCCTAAAGGGAGATTAACAGGGTCTCCCCAAACCTGGCATCTGCCTCAGTTTCCCCACTCTTGTGCTAGCCAGCAGCCCAGCTCACAAGCCAGCACATTGGGGAAGCTTCCTCCAGTGTCAGCGTTTCAATCCCTTCTCCAAGGGGGGGATTTATTGTTCACATAAACTCAGTGCAACATCAGTCCAGACGGGTGAATCAGGCCCTGCCATCTTGTAAGAAGCTTACAAGAAGTGGAAGATTGGACAAATGACCAGGGAAGAGTATAAAAATATTGCTCAGGCATGCAGGAGTGAAATCAGGAAGGCCAAATCACACTTGGAGTTGCAGCTAGCAAGAGATGTTAAGAGTAACAAGAAGGGTTTCTTCAGGTATGTTAGGAACAAGAAGAAAGTCAAGGAAAATGTGGGCCCTTTACTGAATGAGGGAGGCAACCTAGTGACAGAGGATGTGGAAAAAGCTAATGTACTCAGTGATTTTTTTGCCTCTGTCTTCACAAACAAGGTCAGCTCCCAGATTACTGCACTGGGCAGCACAGCATGGGGAGGAGCTGACCAGCCCTCTGTGGAGAAAGAACTGGTTCAGGATTATTTAGAAAAGCTGGACGAGCACAAGTCCATGGGGTCGGATGTGCTGCATCCGAGAGTGCTAAAGGAGTTGGCGGATGTGATTGCAGAGCCCTTGGCCATTATCTTTGAAAACTCATGGTGAGCGGGGGAAGTCCCGGATGACTGGAAAAAGGCTAATGTAGTGCCCATCTTTAAAAAAGGAAAGAAGGAGGATCTGGGGAACTACAGGCCAGTCAGCCTCACCTCAGTCCCTGGAAAAGTCATGGAGCAGGTCCTCAAGGAATCAATTCTGAAGCACTTAGAGGAGAGGAAAGTGATCAGGAACAGTCAGCATGGATTCACCAAGGGCAAGTTATGCCTGACTAATCCAATTGCTGGCTCTGTGGATGAGGGGAAAGCAGTGGACGTGTTATTCCTTGACTTTAGCAAAGCTTTTGACACGGTCTCCCACAGTATTCTTGCCAGCAAGTTAAAGAAGTATGGGATGGATAAATAGACTATAAGGTGGAGAGAAAGCTGGCTAGATTGTCAGGCTCAACGGGTAGTGATCAATGGCTCCATGTCTAGCTGGCAGCCAGGATCAAGTGGAGTGCCCCAAGGGTCCGTCCTTGGGCCGGTTTTATTCAATATCTTAATTAATGATCTGGAGGATGGCGTGGATTGCACCCTCAGCAAGTTTGCAGATGACACTAAACTGGGAGGAGAGGTAGATACATTGGAGGGGAGGGATAGGATACAGAGGGCCCTAGACAAATTGGAGGATTGGGCCAAAAGAAATCTGATGAGGTTCAACAAGGACAAGTGCAGAGTCCTGCACTTAGGATGGAAGAATCCCATGCACCTCTACAGACTAGGGACCGAACGGCTAGGCAGCAGTTCTGCAGAAAAGGACCTAGGGGTTACAGTGGACGAGAAGCTGAATATGAGTCAACAGTGTGCCCTTGTTGCCAAGAAGGCCAATGGCATTTTGGGCTGTATAAGTAGGGGCATTGCCAGCAGATCGAGGGACGTGATCGTTCCCCTCTATTCGGCATTGGTGAGGCCTCATCTGGAGTACTGTGTCCAGTTTTGGGCCGCACACTACAAGAAGGATGTGAAAAAATTGGAAATCGTCCAGCGGAGGTCAACAAAAATGATTAGGGAACTGGAACACATGACTTATGAGGAGAGGCTGAGGGAACTGGGATTGTTTAGTCTGTGGAAGAGAAGAATGAGTGGGGATTTGATAGCTGCTTTCAACTACCTGAGACGGGGTTCCAAAGAGGATGGATCTAGACTGTTCTCAGTGGTAGAAGAGGACAGGACAAGGAGTAATGGTCTCAAGTTGCAGTGGGGGAGGTTTAGGTTGGATATTAGGAAAAACTTCTTCACTAGGAGGGTGGTGAAGCACTGGAATGGGTTACCTAGGGAGGTGGTGGAATCTCCTCCCTTAGAAGTTTTTAAGGTCAGGCTTGACAAAGCCCTGGCAGGGATGATTTAGTTGAGGATTGGTCCTGCTTTGAGCAGGGGGTTGGAGTAGATGACCTCCTGAGGTCCCTTCCAACCCTGATATTTTATGATTCTATGATTCTATCTGATGCCTCCTAAGGCCTCTGCCTCCGAGGCTTCTGCTGCTGCCAGCACCCCAGGGATCCCCAACAGGTCTCTCCCCTGGCTGGTGTGTCAAGTTCCCTTCCAGCTCCATTCTCTGGCCCAGGATCTCCTGCAGGAGCCTGTCTGCATCGCTGCTTGTTGGTCTTTTATCCCACCAGTGGGAAGGCAGCTAGTTAGTATAGGTGGGGGCTACACCCAGCACTTCCCTGTGACAGGAGGTTTGGCTCCAGGTGCAGCTATGTGTGGTCAGGACTGTGCTCCTAGCCCATCAGTCCTTGAGCAAGGGCCCTGATGTGGGGACACGCTGCAGCTGCTGCCTGAGTGGAACCAAAGTGGAAACAATCTGTTCTCTGCTCTGCCTGGAGGTCACGTCCCCTCTTCTCCTTCCCCTCCAACTCTAGGTTTGAAACCCAGAACACCCTGCATGGGCCATTGTTAACTGCAGTGATGGGGGTGAAAGCCAGCAATGGAGAGCGGAGATACTGGCAGCTTCTCCAGGCCCCAGACACCAGTCTTCAGAAAGGTGAGGGAAATAGCACGTGGGAAACAGTGCAGCCTGGCACCTCATGTGGTCAGTGTGTGCTTGGGGCCCCCTCAGTACCCTTTGCAGCCCCCCCCCCCCGGCACGCCTGGAATATTCTGTCTAGCTGCTGCTGCTGCGATGCACCAAAAGCTGCTCTAAAGAACACAGGCAGGGGCTGTTTGCTCACATGGCTATGAAGGGCAATGAATTCCTGGCAGAGGGGTAAAGCTTTGGGCATGGAAAGGGAGAGTGTTGTAAGAAATGGACCTGCTGGCCTGGTTCCACCCCTCTTCCCAGGCCTCAGCATTCTTTCAGGGATAGACCTGCTTCAAGAAAGGCTTTTCCATGCATCACCCAAACCCTAGGGGCCAAATTCAGGCTGGTGTAAGTGGGTGCAATTCCCATTACTTCAGTGAGAGCTGCATCCCCCAGGGCTGGATTTAGTCCCATATCTCCAGATGGTGAATAAATCCTGTGGAGGGATTATGTGCAGCTGCCAAAGGGATCGCAGTGATAAAGTGCCTAAAATGTGGCTTTAAAGTGGTACACTCTTGCTTGGCAGAGCTGCTACCTGTGGGTCTGATGTCCCACTGTCCAGCACCTTGTGCTGTCACCTACCCCTCTGCACAGTTGCTGCTGGAGGCAAGTTGAGCCATCTGGTTCGGTGGCTTTGTGCACAGCTGTTTTTGGGCTACATGAGGTGCCAGGCAATGGGGAATCTAGCTGGTGTGCGGGTAGGTCTGTGCTGTCTGCAGCTCAGGTAGACATAGCCGTGGCAGCGTTGCTACACAGAGCCGTGTAGACGCAGTGCCATGGGCAGCAGCACTGTGAGCAGGTACCCAGGGGTCCAGGCTGGCTTAGAGAGTCTGTGCTGAAGCCCATGCCACCGCATCTACACTGCACTGTTTGTAGCAATGCAAGTGCAGGTAAAACTAGGAAGGATAGGTCTGCCTGAGCTGCTGTCGCACCTTGGATTGCAAGCTAGACCTGCCCGGTGTCCCAGCCAGATCAGCCCACTTTAGAGATGCATGTGGTTGCTTTGTTACTGCTGTTAGCACTGCAGCACACCTGGCACTGGGGAGGGAGGTGGATTCCATTCTAGCTCATGCATCATCAACAGATCCCACCCTCAGTGACCCGTGGGCTGCACTACTGAAGACAGTTACAGAGCACACCATTGGCTCTTTTCAGAGGGCTCCTTAAGCCCACCCATCCTGTATATAGTGCCTGACATCACCAGTGACTTATATCCCAGGGGCAGACATGAAGCAGACTGGCTGTGTAGGGGCAGGTAGCTATGCAGGTGGCTTGAGACGCAATAATACTTCTTAAGGGAACCTAAATAGGCTGACTGCATCTCAGCAAGGTGGGCCAGATCCCTCTAGGCCGGTGGCACAGGAAGGGCCTGGGAGAAGATAAAGGAACACATGGTGGCCTTGAGGGCCCTGGTGTCATGACTAGGGCTCGGGCAGTCAGGCCTAGCGGTTGGAGCAGGGTGGTCAGCATCCAGGAACAGCACCAAAGGTCAGAGCTGGTGTCAGAAACCAGAGCAGGAGTCAGAGCCAAGGGGCAGGTCTGTCACTACCGCTGGCAGGGGAGCCCACCTTGTTGCATGACACTTCCTGGAACTCCTCCTGGGCTTATCTGGGGGACCCGGACCAATCAAAGGCCAGAAAAGAAGCTGTCAGTCTAGCCTGCTGTGAGGGCTCTATCATAGCTGCTGGGTAGTGGCATGGAGATATCGGCCATCCCGCAGACATAGGGTCAAGCCCCGCAGAGCCTCCCACCCAGCAAGCATCGTATAAGGCCTCTGCCCTACAGTGGGAAGAGGGAGGCAGCTGCTGCCCGCAGTCCCTGTAACTGGGGGACTAAGGTCCTAATCGGCATGGGCCCCACTTGCCAATCCTAGACCTCAGCTAGCCTCATTGCCTAGTAGGGTAACCGGATCGCAAGAGAGAAATATCAGGACACACTGGGTGAGTGAGGGTGTGGGTGGGAAGAGGCAGACACAGGTGCACAGCCCCGACCAGAGCCAGAGGCACACTGGTCCGCCTGGCCCTGTGCTACCAGCGTGCCCCTTCCTGTTGGGGATGGGCCCACGCTGCGCCACACAGCTCCCCTGCCTAGCCCCCCTGGATCCACTATGCCCAGAGCCCAGCTACAACCCTTCCACCACAAATGCAGAGTGCTGTGCGCACACACGCCCCACCCAGTGCTCCCCTGCCCACGGCCCCACCACTGCTGCCCAGCACCCCACACAGAACCCCCCACTCGCTAGTTTCCCAATGCACACAGATTTCCCCTCCATCCCTTCCTCCCTCCCATTGCCCTTCCCCACAGCCCCACCACCACAAATACACAATGCCCCACACAGACCCCCTCTGCCCAGTGCCCTGACACACACAGATCTCCCCCACTTCCCAGCACCCACCAGTAGGCCCCCACTGTCTAGCACCCCAAAACACACAAACCTCCCCCACTGCCCAGCGCCCTTCACACCCTCACAGCCCAGCATCCCCCCCACACACACCTCCCAGACACTCACCATCACACCCTGCCCCCTTCCCTGGCTGCACTCACCAGCCCTGCTGGGTGGTCTCTGGCTCCTAGGGTGAGAGCGGAGAGGGGGGGGTCTCCAGACTCACCACGTGCTGCACCCGCCACAAGCGCGAGCTCCGTGGCTCCCATTGCCCGGGAAAAGCGCCAATGGGAGCTGCCAGAGCCGCGGAGCGGGGCTTGCAGGCAGGAGCAGCCTGCAGAGCCCCCCCATCCTAAGAGCCAGAGGGACCTGCCAGGGGGCGAGGTGGGGAGTCCCGGCGGAGCTTAACTGGGGTGGCTCCCATCCCGCGAAGCATCCGGCAGGCAGGTCCCTCTGGCTCCTAAGGTCGCGGGTCGGGTCAGGTCGGGTGTGGGGGCGGAGGGCTTTCTGCCCACTCCCAGCGCCTGCAAGCCCCGCCCATGCAGCACGTGGTGCTCCTGCCGGCGGGCGAGCGCCGGGAGCTATCCCAATATCGATGTAAGGTCGGGACGCTGGACAAGTCCCCTAAAATCAGGACTGTCCCGATAAAATCAGGACGTCTAGTCACCCTATTGCCAAGACTGGCCAGCCTTTAGCTTCAGCATGGCTGTGGGCTCACCAGTAGCTCACTGCCTCCTGCCCAGATGAAGCCAAGTGCTCCAGAGAAGCCTGCCTGCTGACTGAGACCTCAGTCCAAAGAGAGGCCTTCCCTAAGGCACTCTGGGAAATGCACTCGCAGTGTCTTTGCTGGAGCAGTAGTGCTGCACATTTGGCTAAGCCGGGGCATGGTCCTTTGTGGAAATCCCAAGGGAAACGTCCAGTGTCCACATTTCCCATTCAGGAAACAAGCAGAATGAATTTAGCCAGGACGCCGCCCCCCATGCTCAGCACATCCGTAGTGTGATGGGAGAGATCGGGGGGCAGGTTGCGATTGGAAGGGGAATAGAACCGGGTAGGAGCAATATGAGCAGGCTGGAGGGTACTGTACAGGGAATGTGAGAGTGTGAAGTGTAAGGCTAAGTGTGGTCACACCCCTCCGAATACACAGAGCCAGGGGCCTGGCGAGTCGGGACCCACAGAAGTGTGTTGTTCAGGTTGTGTCGCAGCCCAGAGAATTTGTGTGGCTTCACTCGCACTTCCTGGTGTTGTACGTGATATAAGAGGTTGCACAACAGCTTTTCTATGAAAATAAACCCAGCATCCCGAAGGGTTCTGTCAGCTTCGGCGGGTTTGGGATTTGTCATTAGCACAGTGAAATGTTTAAATGTTTCACACCAGCGGTTCTCAAAATTATTGCATCGCGACCCCTTTCTGACAACAAAAATTACTACATGACTGCAAGAGAGGGGACTGAAGCCTGAGCCTGCCTTGGGCAGGGAGGGTGGGAGGTGGGCACAGTCAAACCCCAAGCCCCACCACCCCTGGCTGGAGGGCCAAAGCCATAGCCCAAGGGCTTCAGCCTCAGGCAGGGGGTGGGGCCTATAACCCTGAGCCCCACCACCAAGGGCTGAAGCCCTCAGGCTTAGGCTTTGGTCCCGGGCAGTTGAGCTTGGGCTTGGGCCTGTGGCCCCAGCAAGTCTAACACCCGCCATGGCAACCCCATTAAAATGGGATCGCAACCCACTTTGGGGTTGTGACTCACACGTTGAGAACCGCTGTTTTACACCTTTAAGGTTCCCAGACTGCCATGATAAGGTCAGGGGGTAATGACTAGCTGTAAGGTTGCGATGATCTGATGCTGCCAGCTGCTGGAGTTGGGGCTGTTTTGCATTCACAGTGTGATGGCCTTGGTGCCACTAGCACTCAGAAGGTCACACACAGTGACAAGCATGTGCTGGCACCTGCAGAGTCTCTGTTTGATTGCAGAAGTCAGGGTGGGGTCAATGGTGTGTATAAGCAATTACTCACCTTTAACGTTAAAAAAAAAATCCATGGAAATTTTCCAGTTTTTCCAATAAAAAAGCAACCCCCCCCAAGTTTCTGGGTTTCAGGGTGGGCATTTTGCCAAAAAACAAAATAAACAAAAAAGTTTGTTTTGAAAAAAGGCCATTTTTCCTTTGAAATATTTTTTTAAACAAAAAATGGTGACCTCTGCTGCATTGGGGAGATGCTCATTGACTGATCCTATGTGCTGTCCCAAAAGACCCTGGGGAATTGGGCCTGTTCTTGCTACAGGCTTCTCTATTCCCAATTAGCAGACACATTTGTTTGTGGTTTTCTGGTGCTGGGGCCCTTCTCTCGCTTTGGCATGGATAGCAGCCCCTCTGGGGAGCCAAGAGGGCCAAGACCAGCCCAAAGCTTCCACTGATCAAAGACTAAATGACTGATTAATATGTCTGAGCCCATGGCCTAAATGAGACCAACAACAGAGTGCAGAGAAAGAAGTAAAGAAACTGGGCCTGGTGCCCTCTCACCCCAGGGATAAGCAGGAGTGACAGCAGGATAAGATCACTGTATGCGAGAGGTGATGAAATTCAATGCTGATAAATGCAAAGTAATGCACATTGGAAAACATAATCCCAACTATACATATAAAATTATGGGGTCTAAATTAGCTGTTACCACTCAAGAAAGAGATCTTGGAGTCATTGTGGATAGTTCTCTGAAAACAGGTTTCAGAGTAACAGCCGTGTTAGTCTGTATTCGCAAAAAGAAAAGGAGTACTTGTGGCACCTTAGAGACTAATCAATTTATTTGAGCATAAGCTTTCGATGCATCCGATGAAGTGAGCTGTAGTATTGTAGTATTCTTGTCAGCAAGTTAAGGAAGTTTGGGCTGGATGAATGTACTACAAGGTGGGTAGAAAGCTGGCTAGATTGTGGGCTCAAGGTAGTGATCAATGCTCCATGTCTAGTTGGCACGGTATCATGGTGTCCCCAAGTGTCCTGGGGTTTTGTTCAATATCTTCATAAATGATCTGGAGGATGGTGTGGATTGACTCTCACAAATTTCGGATGATACTAAACTGGGAGGAGTGGTAGATACGCTGGAGGGGAGGGATAGGATACAGAAGGACCTAGACAAATTGGAGGATTGGGCCAAAAGAAATCTGATGAGGTTCAATAAGGATAAGTGCAGGGTCCTGCACTTAGGACGGAAGAACCCAATGCACAGCTACAGACTAGGGACCGAATGTCTAGGCAGCAGTTCTGCGGAAAGGACCTAGGGGTGACAGTGGACGAGAGCTGGATATGAGTCAGCAGTGTGCCCTTGTTGCCAAGAAGGCAATGCATTTTGGGATGTATAAGTAGGGGATACGAGCAGATCGAGGAGTGATCGTTCCCCTCTATTCGACATTGGTGAGGCCTCATCTGAGTACTGTGTCCAGTTTTGGGCCCCACACTTCAAGAAGGATGTGGATAAATTGGAGAGAGTCCAGCGAAGGGCAACAAAAATGATTAGGGGTCTGGAACATATGAGTTATGAGGAGAGGCTGAGGGAGCTGGGATTGTTTAGCCTGCAGAAGAGAAGAATGAGGGGGGATTTGATAGCTGTTTTCAACTACCTGAAAGGGGGTTCCAAAGAGGATGGCTCTAGACTGTTCTCAATGGTAGGAGATGACAGAACGAGGAGTAATGGTCTCAAGTTACAGTGGGGGAGGTTTAGATTGGATATTAGGAAGAACTTTTTCACTAAGAGGGTAGTGAAACACTGGAATGCGTTACCTAGGGAGGTGGTAGAATCTCCTTCCTTAGAGGTTTTTAAGGTCAGGCTTGACAAAGCCCTGGCTGGGATGATTTAACTGGGAATTGGTCCTGCTTTGACAGGGGTTGCCTTCTGGGGTCCCTTCCAACCCTTATATTCTATGATTCTATGATTCTAAGTACTCCTTTTCTTCTTTTCTCTGAAAACATTCACTCAATGTGCAGCGGTAGTCAAAAAAGCCAACAGAATGTTGGGAATCATTAAGAAAGGGATAGATAATAAGATAGAAAATATCATATTGCCTCTATATAAATCCATGGTACGCCCACATCTTGAATACTGAGTGCAGATGTGGTTGCCCACTTCAAAAAAGATATATTTTAAAATGTTCAGAAAAGGGAACAAAAATGATTAAGGGTATGGAATGGCTGCTATATGAGAAGAGATTAATAAAACAGGGATTTTTCAGCTTGGAAAAGAGATGACTAAGGGGGCGATATGATAGAGGTCTATAAATTCATGATTGGTGTGGAGAAAGTAAATAAGGAAGTGTTATTTACTCCTTCTCATAACTCAAGAATTGGGGTCACCAAATGAAATTAATAGGCAGGTTTAAAACAAACAAAAGGAAGCATTTTTTCACACAATGCACAGTCAACCTGTGGAACTCCTTGAGCTTCCTCTCCTGGGTGGCAGAAGTTGTGCGGACTGACACGCCTGGGCTACTGTCTGCCAAGCTATTCGGGTTTCCCCTGCACAGTCTCTTTCCATCTTACCCCTGCTGGCCAGCCAAACTCTTGCTTCCCATGGTTGAGGCAATGCCCCCAGAGTTGGCCCTCCTCTTTTCCATGGTGACTCCATGATGTCGCCCCTTTGGGGCTCAGCTACTACCCTGTGCTCCATCTCATCAAGAAGGATGGTTCAATGGTTAGAGCACTAGGCTAGGACTCAGGAGACCAGGGTTCAGTTCTCTTGGGCTGGTCACTCATTTGCTCTGTGCCTCAATTCCTCACCTGTACAATGGGGATAATAGCACAGCTCTGCCTTGCAGGGTGATGTGAGCATAAATACTTTAGAGATTGTGACATTTCAGACACTACAGTGATGGGGTGGATAAGCACCTTAGGCAGGTCCTCCAAGTACATGAGCCAACACCCAGGAAATCATTCTCAGTGCCTCCTGCCTGAGGAGTGGTACCAAACCCCGAGGAAGCGACTGTCTCTGGGGTAGTGCCTCTTGCTCCTAATTCAGCTGTGCTGCATGAGTTCCTTAATCTGTGCCCAGGCTGCTCCTTCTGACTTGTGCTCTGCTATCTTTTTTTGTAGGTATCTCTGATTACCAGCCTCAGGATGGAGAGTCCATCATCCTGAAGTTTAGCCCGTGGTAGATGGCCTGCTGTCTGCTTCCAGCTCCCTGCCCCACCTCGATCCATGGTGAACTCTGTGTGCATCTCTCTCTGCCCCAGAAGCAGGATGTCTCAGTTGGCAAGGACAGCATGCATCTGTCAACCTGTGAGTCCTGTGCCCACAGAGCGGTATCTTCCTCCCCACAGACTGAAGTCCATAATGCAAGTCCCTGGCCCTTCTGGCAGGATGTGTGTGCGTGTGCCTATCTGTCAAAAGGGGCAAATTCCCACCTGCCCTGGTAACCTGTTCTGCTGTGGATCACCCACAACCATCCAGTCGATGGAAACTGACCATGCCAGGGGGTGGGGAGCAGCAGATTTGGTTTGAATGAAAAACCTCCAATATGACAACTCAGCGCATCATAATTCTGATTTTCTAATGCAGCTTTAACCCTTGCTATGCTGTGGCTGTCTAAACTGCCACCCAATGAGTACGTGGGAGGAGGTGCCTGCATCCTCCTGCTGGACACACTTTGCCCCCCCCTCCCCCCCCACACACTGTACCAGTGCCCTGGTATGACTGGGGTCCTGGGGATTCTCTAGACTGCATCCCTCTGTATAGCAGTCACTGCCCAGCTCGCAGGCCAGGGCTCCCCTCCCTGCTCCCGCCCCAATTCCTGAAGCGACAGAACTGCTACTATGAGGAGAGGATGTGGCTGATATCTTTGCTTTCTGGAGAGCAGTGGGTGGGAACCCAGGCCCTGTGCCAAGGGGAGATGGTGCCCCCAAGCAGCCACTCTACCTCAGTCTGACATTTGGATCTGAAATGATTAAAGCTTTGATTGCAAACCTGGCCTTCCAGTTTGTCATTTGGCCCTTACCCAGAGCACCCGGGTCTCTGAGCCAGGCCTGGGCCCTCAGCACGGAGCTGCCTTCAGTGTCTGGGCATTGTCCTAGGGGTTTGCATCATTTCCAACAAACAATGGACAATTCTGTTCTCCTGTGTGACTAATCACGAGTTTGATTTTTACCTATTATTTGTATGGTTGTAGTACCTAGGTCCCCCAGTCATGGACCAGGGCCCTTTTCTGTTTGCCAGAAGCTGGGAATGGGTGACAGTAGATGGATCACTTGATTACCTGTTCTGTTCATTCCTTCTGGAGCACCTGGCATTGGCCACTGTCAGAAGACAGGATACTGGGCTAGCTGGACCATTGGTCTGACACAGTATGGCCATTCTTATGTTCATTGTGCTAGGTGCAATATGGACGCAGAACAAAAATACACCATCTCTGTCCCGCCCCAGAGAGCTTACAATCTAGAAATAAGACAAGAGACACCAGATGGAGAGAGACAGGGGAGTACAAAGAAACAAAGACAATACTGGTGGTGATGGGCAGTGGTCTCTGCACACCAGCAGCCTAACTAGTGTCCAGATTTGTATACACATTACAGCAAAGGAGAGTTTTGAGGCAGGACTGGAGGGAGGACAGTGTGACACTAAGCACACGTCTTCACAGCTTGCACTACTATGCTAGTAATCTTGTACAAAATATGCCTTGTGAGTTATCATTTGAAAACTAATAATTCACTGATCATTAATATTCTTGCATGGTGTACGTACACGATGGGTATTAAGACACGAATATATGCTGGAGTTATAACTAAAGTGTGTGTGAACTAGATGGGTCAGGGCGAGTTGTTAAGCAGGTTTAGCCTAAAGAAAGAAATATGTTTACCTCAATTTACATATAAGTAGTAAACAGACTCATCAAGCTAATAAGGGGTGAAACAAAGTCACACTAACAAGCTGAGGGGGGAGGAGGAAGACAGCATGCCCACTACATCTGGCAAGAGAGAAGCTTGGTCTGGGATTTACTTTTCAGAAGAATCCACTGCAAAGGTTCACTGGGCTATACAGAGGGGCTGAGCCTCAAGTGATAAGCAACTGAACCAGCTGATTGGACACTATGACTGTACAGTATTATACGAGTGTACAGAGTGGGGTCTTTGCTGAAAGCCTCTGAGATAATGGTGATTAATATAACTGTGAACGGTCTGTATTAACACTAGGAGGAATTATGGATATTCATTTATTTGTTGTAAAGTATGAGGGCAAACAAAGGAAGGAACAGTTCCCTACCGGACAGGAGGTGGGCGAGCTATTTATCTGTCACCTATATAAATTAAGCCTGATAGAATCAAAACAATGGAAGCCCCATTTACCTAGAAATCACACTGGGAGATGGGAAGCCCACAGGAATGGAAGAACAGCGTGAGGTCATCCTGCCTCTTGAACCAAGGTCATTGAGCTTTGGAAGATCTAGGCAAGGAAAGAAGCCACCTTTGGTATCACCAGAGCCAAGGGAGCAGAGCGCTTGCAAGCTGGGGAAGATGGGTCCTTCAACCAAGAGGTGGGGGCTGAAGTCTCTGGAACTGACTATAGGTGAGAAACCTGCTCAGGAAAAGATCTTTCACCAAGGAAGACAAGGGAAGCCAGCACCATGTGCGTTTGTGGAAGGGCCTGACTGAGAGAATGTCAGCCATGGCTGGGAAGAAGAATGATGGGTGAGAAAAACAGTCTTGAGCAATGTCTGTATCTTGCTAGAGTAAGTTTTAGTATTTTAGATGCATGTTTTCACTTGTATTTGCTTATAACCTGCGTAACTTTATTCCTGTTACTTGGCATTGCTTACCCTATGTCCTGTTGTCAACAGACTTATTTTACTATAAACCAACTCAGTGCAGTGTTTAGAGGGAAGGGTGTATTTACCCCATTAAGTTAATCAGGTGCAATGAGTTTTGTGTCTTAGAGGAAGACATAAACCATATTATTTCTCTGAACTGTCCAGGGGAGGGCTGGACATTTCAGAGCACATGATTTGGGGAAAATTGGGACTGGGAGGGTGTTGGGGTCACCCTGCAAGTACTAGCCAAGGCTGGTGGAAGCCAGAGTGGGGCTGTAGAAAGACTACGGGGCTTAGAGCTGATGAATCAGGATTGTCTAGCGCACAGACACGGAGGGTGTGGCCTGCTTGCTGGTAGGCTGGTTGGGAACGGCCCAGGTTGGGATCTACAGCAGCAAAGCACTGTGAGGCACCCAAGGTTGCAAGGCAGGTGATGACACAGCCCCTTGCTGGTCTGGATTGCACCCCAGAAAGGGATAGACAATGAGTAGTTTTGTGGATGTTTATGGGGACCTCTTCCCACACATGAACAGTGGCCTGAGAGAAAGCCTGTAGATGCTTGTTCAGAAACTTAATGTGGGCAAAGGAGGCTGGTATCACGGACCGACTGGAGAGGAGTGTTGACAGTTCCATAGCAAATGAGAGTTGATAGGTGGGGTGGACACTGAAAGAGAAGACAAGCTGCTTGTGTTTGATGCATTTGAGAAGGGGGAGCCAATGGAGGGATGCAAAGAAAGGAACGACATGATCAAAGCAATAAGGTAGAAGAATGATCTTTGCAGCTGCATTCTGAACGGGTATAAGCAGGGCAAGATTGCATTTGGCAGTGCCAGAGAGGAGGACGTTACAGTTGTTGAGGCTCGGGATGAGGAGGCCCTCGATCAGACTTTTAGCTGTGGCACTACAGAAGAAAGGCCATGTCATAAATATAAAGGGGAAGGTTTTTGCTTTGACCTCTAAAGGGTTAAGAAGCTCAGATAACCTGGTTGGCACCTGACCGAAAGGACCAATAAGGGGAGAAGATACTTTCAAATCTGTAGAGGGGAAAGGTTTCTGCTTTGTCTCTGTGTGTGTGCGCTTTCTGAGACAAAGAGAGAGACCAAGCAAGTAATCTAGCTCTTACTGAATGATACATCTAACTTACAGAAATAGTAAGTAATAGCAAGGAAATGCATTAGAGTATCTTTTGTTTTAGCTTGTGAATTTTCCCTGTGCTAAGAGGGAGGTTTATCTCTGTTTTTTGTAACTTTAAAGTTTTGCCTAGAGGGGAATCCTCTGTGTTTTGAATCTTATTACCCTGTAAAATTACTTTCCATCCTGATTTTACAGAGGTGTTTCTTCGACATTTTTTGTCTTTATAATAAAGTTCTGTTTTTTAAGAATCTGATTGTTTTTTAGTGTCCTAAAAACCAAGGGACTGGTCTGTGCTCACCTGGTTTACCTATTTGGTTGGTAGATTATTCTCAAGCCTCCCCAGGAAAGGGGGTGAAGGTGCTTGGGGGGATATTTTAGGGAAACAGGAATTCCAAGTGGTCCTTTTCCTGAATCTTTGTCTAACTCACTTGGTGGTGACAGCAGTACCCATCCAAGGACAAGGAAGGATTTGTACCTTGGGGAAGTTTTTAACCTAAGCTGGTAGAAATAAGCTTAGGGGGTCTTTCATGTGGGTTCCCACATGTGTACCCTAGAGTTCAGAGTGGGGAGGTGTCAGGGTTCCCTCCCCCACTCTGAACTCTAGGGTACAGATGTGGGGACCCGCATGAAAGACCCCCTAAGCTTATTTCTACCAGCTTAGGTTAAAACTTCCCCAAGGCACAAATTCTTTGCCCTTGGAGGGTACGCTGCCACCACCAAGTGATTTAACAAAGAATCAGGGAAAGGACCACTTGGAGTTCCTATTCCCCCAAAATATCCCCCCAAGCCCTTACACCCCCTTTCCTGGAAAGGCTTGAGAATGATATCCTAACCAATTGGTTACAAGTGATCACAGACCTAAACCCCTGGGTCTTAGGACAATAGAGAAACCAGTCAGAAGGATTTTATTTTAAAAAGGTAAAAATCACCTCTGTAAAATCAGGATGGAAAATAACTTTACAGGGTAACAAAAGATTCAAAAATACAGCAGAACTTCCTCTAGGCTTAGTTTCAAAGTTACAAAAAACAAGAATAAACCTCCCTCCAGCAAAGGAAAAATTCACAAGCAAAACAAAAGATAATCTAACATGCCTTACCTGGCTTTTCCTTACAATTTTTGTAATAGGAGAGACTTTTAGGATGGGTTATAGGAGAAGGAGTTTTCTGACCTGATGCTTCTCTGCTTCCCAAGAGAACACACACAAACAAAGCCTTCCCCTCCACCCAAGATTTGAAAATATCTTCTTTCCCCATTGGTCCTTTTGGTCAGGTGTCAACCAGGTTATTTGAGTTTCTTAACCCCTTACAGGTAAGGAGGAATTCTAGGCTACCCTTAGCTGTATGGTTATGACAGGAGGGAACCTTGACAGGCCGTAACTCAGATGCTCTGCAGAAAAAAATCAGGAAGATTTAGACTTACCCGGGATCTGAGGTCCTCGAGAGAGGTTGGAGTTGATGAGGCCCAGGGCCTGAGTGACAGGTAGGATGATGGTGTTGTTCCCAGTGGTGGAGAAAGAAGGTGGCAAGGAGGGTTTGGGGGAGATTCAGAGCCCTGTTTTAGCCATGTTGAGCTTGAGCTGACAGCTAAATATTCATAAGATGTCACAGGAAGGCTGAGAGATTAGTTTGGCCAGAAGAAGACAAGCCTGGAGCAGAGGTAGATCTGCAAGTGGTCAGCATAGGGACGGTTGTTGAATTTGTGTTTGTGATGAGATTACCCAGAGGTACAGTGCAGAGGGGGAGGAGAAGGGGGCCAAGGACAGAGTGTGACGAAGCAGTACTGTTCTTAATGTTTCCTCTGAATATTGTGGGGGTGCCTCAGTTTCCCCTATGCAGTTTTTAAGTATCTAGGTGGTGAGATGAGGGTGTATGATCGTTGCAGAGCCCTAGAGGGCAGGTGTGTGCAGGGGTCTGGACACAGAGAATGGCCAACACCCTGTTTCCTGGCAACTGATGGCCTGGCCCTTCCCCACTGCAAGGTGAGAGCTAAAGGGGTTGGAGAACAAAGGAATCAGATGACCTCCTGCC